CCCCGAGCCAGCCAGGTCCACTGTCCGGGCTTCTTGCAGTGCGTGCCTCCAATCACAGATGTCATCCCGCCAGTGCTCCTCCTGCCTCTTCCTTCAGCCAACCACTCAGCAGCTGAGCAGGGAAACGCATCTTCCCACCTCCTCAACAGCGGTCTGCTGAGGGTAGAAGTATGGCAGGACTACATCTGCAGCTGGGGCAGTGTTGCTGCTGTTGAGCGCGCGTGCACTGCAAGGGGCCCAGTGAGTGGACCCAGGCTGGTTCTGAGGGGAGAGAATGGCACTTGTGGTGCCATGTGCTGTATTCGTATCCCCTGAGACATGTGTATGAGGCTCCCATGTCTAATCAAGTCTAAAACGTGGCTGCAGTATTTCTTAATGGGACTGGTACTATGAATTTGCTGTGCTAGTGGTTTGCCATTTTTGGCACGTCTTGATTTGTTTCCAGGCACAGCTTCAGCTGCTGGCTTTGATCTTTTAGATCACGTTTTGGGACCCTGTTACATCAAGGACTTTAACTTGCTTTTATATTGTAAACTTCCATAAAAACCTTTTGCTCCAAGTAATTTATTTATTTAATTATTTATTTGATTTATACCCCGCCCATCTGGTATATTCTACCACTCTGGGCAGCTAACAGCAAAGTAACAAGATAAATCAAGTCAAGTAACGTAACCAGTTAATTTGCTAGTCAGCTGCCTTCTCCATCCATAATTCTGTTGGGCTGGTTCAAGCTTTATGTTCATTTGAAACACTTTGTGTTCTAATTTTGCCTGATCTTTCAGGATAATCCCTGGTTTGATCTGAATTTTACTGCTAGCGGTGCATGGAGAGTGTCCTTAACAAGACACATGGCAGGGTTAAGGATATAGAAGGAGTTGTAGCAGATTGTTTACTTTCAATCCAAGGATAAGGGTGGATGATACCTTGATTAGACCATTAAAATCTCAGTTTAGGCATTAAAGAAATGGGCTTGGCACAGAAGAAATATAAAAGTTCCAAACATAATGGTTGTGTGTGTAGACTTACATTTCTTTGTTAAAAGCAAGTTCCCAAATGGGAGCTGCAGGTTGAGCTCAGAGGTGGCAAGTGTTTGCTTGATTTATTCTGTTCTAAACTAATTTGTGCATTTTTCTGAGGGTTTGAGCAGTGGTAGGCCACATTTCTTACCTTTTTGTGTCTGCATCTACGTACTTGCTTTTCAGGGGGCTGTTAAAGCCATTTCATCTCCTCCAACTTGGTTTCTCTCTGCTTCATTCTTCCTAGTTCAGATTGTAGAAAAGAAATGTTTTCTAGGAAGCCAATAGAAATATTCTTTTGATATCGATGCTGACATTGTTGGGTTTTGTGACCAAGTGTCCCTCCAGTAGAGGGCATAGTATTCCTTTAACACAGTGGTCCCCAACCATGGGCCTCCAGATGTTCTTGGACTTCAACTCCCCAAATTTCCCATTGTGTGAAGCAAATCAAGGATATTTTTTAGATAAGCCTAACTAATTATGTAGCCTTTCCCATGGGCTGGGGGACATGTGGGCATTTCATGGAACTCAGGTCTGTATTGTAGCCTTGCTCATGCAGAGCCCTGATTAAAGCGTTTTATGTTCTTTAAAAGTCATGTTCAGCTTACCTAACAATTCATTTTTATTTGATTTCACAATATAAAATGCTAAGCCTCTTGTTTTAAACGACAAGGAGTCTTCAAAAGAGTAGGGAGCCTTGTGCGTTTAATGTATCATTTGCATGCTCTGAAGTAATTTATTTTGTCCCCAGTAATCTATCTTGCTTGCTAGCGATCAGTTCTCCAATTTCCTTTTATAGGAGAAGAAAAATGATGCTTAATTTTTTAAAAGGCCCCGTCTTTCCTCGGGCTTCTAAGTGCCTAAATAAAATATTAATGAGTCTCACTCTTATTTATTAGGCTCTTGAATTGAATGAAATGGTTAGTGTCCAGCAATCTAACATCTATTATACTAATGATAGGCAGAAGAGTATTACATAGGTTCAAAAAGTCAGGACTACCATAATGGTATGATTCTGATCAGGTTGCACATGTTGGCATTGAAGCTCAGATGGCAATTTTGTAAGACACAGACATGATGCCCACTTCTGGATTTGAGTAACCCGGTCAACCCATCCTTTTAATATGATTACTCTCAAGTTTTCTTTTAGAGCAGGGGTGTCCAACCTTTCACCTTCCCTGGGCCATATTAGAAGATGAAAATTTGGTTTGGGCAGCACATACATTTGGCTTGGGCCGCATGCGGGGTGCAGCCCTAGCCATCCTCTGCAGCCCCGCTCCAAGCGCGCTTACCGGCAGCTGCGATCTCAGACAGCAGAGGCTGCCAGCTTCGACTCCGGCAGCTTTATGGGGCCAGGAGGGGGTCCACCTATTGACGGGGACGGCACAATGCAGTCACGCAGCCCCCCCTGTCCCCTCCCCTCCCACTCCTTCCTTCCTTCCCTTTCTCCCCCTCTACTGTTGTGACATGCCCCAGCCACATTCCGGCCGCAAGCGCCAGCAGTGTAACTTGAAACTTTGGAATTTCTTTAAAAATAAAAAATTGCACTGGGCCGCATTACGAGCTGACCGGGGCGGCATGCGGCCCTCGGGCCGCAGGTTGGACAAGCCTGTTTTAGAGCAAATAAGGTGCTTTTGTTATTTATGCTGGTTATATTTATGTACCTGGCCATATGTCTCCAGCATAAAAATCATTTGGGATTTATTACCTTTGAATGATTTGTTTCAAAGAATACTTGTTAATAGTACAGTGGTGCCTTGCATAACGAGCGCACCATTTAATGATGAATCCGCATAGCGATGTGGATTTTGCGATCGCTAATGTGATCGCATACCAATGTTTTATCGCATTGCGATGGGGGGAACAACTGTTTGGCGGTTCCAAAATGGCCGCCGGAACACCCAAAATGGCCGCCGGAACACCAAAAATGGCCACCAGAACACCCAAAATGGCCACCAGAACACCCAAAATGGCTGCCGGAACATGGGGAAACATCGCAGAACGGTGAGTTTTGGGCCCATTTGGAACTTTTCCGTTCCGTTTAGCGATGTTTCCCCATAGCGAAGGTTAATCCGGAATGGATTAACCTCACTATGCGGGGCACCACTGTATTCACTTATTTCCTCTAAGAGCAGTTTTAACTGTTGAGTGCTACAAGGATTATGCCCAGAACATGATAACTGAGAAACAGTATCAGGATGAATGGCTGAGCCCTGACCTTTTCATAAGTACAGTGGAGGAGAGAACCCTCTGACAGGGGTTTGACTAAGCAGCTTAACAAGGACAAACCATCTTGAGTACTTATGAGATGCCGATGTCAGTTTGCTTTAACATACCATCCTGATCATCTTGGATCTTGTCTGTTTGTAACCAGTCAAAACGGAGCAGGGTCACACCTGGTTACTATGTGGATGAGAGACTTCTAGGGAACACCAAGAATCTCTAGGTAGAGCTAAGAAAGAATCTCCCAGAGAACTTGGGGAGCTGTTGCCAGTCAGAGGTTACACTACTGAGCTAGAGGGACCAGATGTCTAGCTCTGTGTAAGGTAGCCTCCTGTGAAAAAGAATAAAAGGGGAAAGTGCCAGAGTTGGTAGTGTAGAGAAGGGCACAGCTGGAATTTGAACAGCAAGCTCCTGTTAAGAAGTGAGGAATGCTGCAGCATTTTGTTGCAGATGTGCATGCATGGTATATGTGCAATTTGCCCAGCTATAAACATAGGAACGGTGCTGAAGACTGAAGTCTTACGTGGATCTGGTTTGTATTTCCACAGTGATCAGTCAAATGCCAACAGGAGGAATGCATTTAATATGTAAATACAGCCACACTAACCCTAGCTTGTACTCCCCAGCAACCAGTATTGAATGTCACTCTTCCTTTGATTCTGCTGCCAATAAACACTCAGTGCAGTGAATAGCCATTGATAGTTAGTTCCTCTACAAATTTTATTTATTTATTTATTTATTTATTTATT